CATTTGCTGGATGTGAAAGTCTTAACCACCCCTTACATGCCACAACTACAACCCCCAAGCCCAGTAACAGCAACTGCCTGTGTGAATATTTGCACTGCTTTGCACCACACTGGTGGTCTGCCTGGGATCACATTAAACTCAGCTAAGCATAACATGCAAAGTGACCCTGAAAGATCCCTTTCAAGTGTCCCTCCCTCCTCTGCTTCATTTTAATGTGGCTGCCATATGGTTCAGGGGCCATTATAAACCCTTTGTTTATCTAGTCCTGCTGTAAATGTTTCATTTCTCCCAGAAAGATAAAAGGCCTGTTCCCTTATATTAAATGCAAAATTACCTTTTTTTTGATCATAAATACCCAGCTCAAATAACTGTGCAGAATTGAGCTGAAATAGAGTTAATTTTCATCACAGAGGCTGGTGTGGGACTATGTTTTTGTGCTGAACACGGGGTTGATGTGCTGCTGATCCAGGCTTCCACAGGGTCAAAGCTTTTCCTGCTTCTCATATTGTCAGGTTTTCAAGGAAGTTGGGGATGCATGGGAAGCTGGGAGGAGACACAGCCAAGACAGGTGACCCCAGCTAACCAAAGGAATATTCCAGACCATATGATGGCATTCTCTGTATATTGAGTGGGAGGGAGGAGAAAGGAGAGAACATTTGGAGTGATGGTGTTTGTCTTCCCAAGTCACTGTATCCTGCTCTCCCAGAGATGGATGAAAACCTGTCTTCCACAGGAAGCAGTGAATTAATACCTTGGTTTGCTTTGCTTGTGCAGCTTTTGCTTTCCCCTTAAACTTATAAATAGTCTTTTTCTCAGTGCAGGAATTCTACAGCTTTTACTCTTCTGATTCTCTCCCCAATTTCTTTGCTGGTGGGAGAATAAGCAAATGGCTGAAGATGCTTGCCTGCTGGATGGGGTTAAACAGCAACAAGAATTAAGACAGCAGTAATCCAAATGAGATTTTTTTTCTTTTTTTTTTTTTTCTTTTGTTTTTTTGTGGGAGTGTGGGGCAAAACCACAATGAAAACCACTGTTAAATAAGTAACATTACTGTTTCATATCAGTATGAAGCCACATTGATCAAATGCTCAGGTTCCAGAGCCAAAGGGGAGGTGAGAAATTAGTTTCTAAGAATATTTCTTCATTCTGTTGAGCTTGGATACATCTGGAGGGGACTTTTATATGAAGTAATAAATACGTGCGAGTCACTTATATCCTCAGAACTGTTATTCTGTATTGTATGAATTTGTGGAAAACAAAGCATTAGCTCAAACAAGATACTAGAAAAGGGATTAGGGAATTGCCGTCTTTCAACTATTTACTTTAATTTGCATGCTCATTAACTATGTAATAGAATGGAAGGGCTTAATTACCTCATTTATAAAAACAACATCACTGACAATTTAATTGCAATGATAGTTCTTCTAAAAAAATTTTGGATAACTTGCAGTGACAAATACATGCTAAAATGAAGTTGTTATACTGCCAGCAAGACAACATAAAATGTTGATATGTGGCAGTACTGAAATAACCTGATTATTATCTATCTATGAAATAGATGACAACTAAAAGCACGCCAAAAAAACTGAGTTAAATCATGTTTTTCATCACAAACCAGAATTGCTAAAATTATGCATTTTGTATGGATCACAAACCTTAAACTTTGCTGCTAAGTGAAAATTCATTAAACTAACATTACTATAGTGGATTGTAAACAGTTTTATTAAAGGATATATATACTATAAGTGTGTAGGTGATAGAAATAATTCTTTGAAACTGTAGAGCCATGTTTTTTTTATTGTAGCATCTCCATTTCTTGAAGTGCCTTTTTATTCAGCCTTTTCAATAGATTTGAAAGGTATATTCAGAAAATAAGATTTAAATTATGCCTACAATTTGGATTTCCTAATATGACACCTGGAATGCTATGTCCAATTTGGTATACCATGGTTTAGGACTATATAAAAGGAGACTAAAACCAAATAAAATTTGCTAAAAGAAATTTGATTTGTTCCTGATAACTTAAAGAATGAGGAAGAGAATGATAACAATATTCAGCATCTTGAGAAAGCAGCTGGAGAATCAGAAGATCTGATACCCAAGTCCAGGATATCCCACACAGGATAAATAGCGAAAGATTTAAAACTGAGAGGAGGAAAATGTAGGTCCATGATATGAATGTGGATGGCAATGTGTCGGCAGGGGTGTGGCTACAGGGTGACCTCCATGAGAAGAGTGCAGGGACTGCCCTGTGACAGACACTGTCCCAATCAACCACTGCAGCAGAGCATATCTGCACTGAACAACATTTGTAAGCATTAAATATGTGTCCTACAAAGCCTTACCAGAATTTTGGAATGAACCAGTGTGTTATGTGGCACTCACATATTTCTATGCTTCATTGATAGATCACATAGCTCACAAAATACTTTTGCACCCATAGTCTGTGTCTATGTGTCTGAATATTGGGGGTTCAGAGAGCAAGGGAAACCAAATTGGAAAAAAAGGGGATGTCACTGCAATCTACCACTTTGGGAGAAAGTGAGTTTGGGTTGTGCTGTGGTAGCACCATATCCTTGCCTTGTTTAAAAGCTGAGAAACTGCACACAATGAGCCACGATGGTGCAAACAGGGGGTTTTATTGGCAGCCTCTGCAGACACCCAGCTATAAACTCCCAGGAACTGGATGGAACATTGTTAGGCAGATATCCATCAGGGTGCAGAGGAAGAGGCAGGTGTATGTCAAGCTCCTGCACAGACCAGGTCTGACAGTCCCGTGTCTGCCCGGGTGCTATTTGGCATTCCATCCCCTTGATGACAAGTTCTAGTCCCAGCTCTTGGCTCTTGTCTTTGCAGCTGATCTTAGCCACTGCTTAATATAGGCACATATTTTCCTCCAGGTATGTCCTTGCTGATTGTCAGCTGCTGGACCATTAAATGCTATTAAAAAAAAAAAAAAGTAATGAGCTTTTTCTTTCCCACCTGAGACCCTTGTCTTTGAAGTGATTTATTTTGTTAGCCACTGGTAATTTTTGCATGATGCCTGACATGTCATCATCTGTTTTGTGGTACTGTTTATTTTAGATTGAAAACAAATCATCCTGTGTATTTTAATACCTTGACTTGCATCTATATTGTTGATCACTGCTCCAGAAACATGTCCTTCTTCTATCTTATTTGCTTTCTTCAAAGTGACTTCGATTATGACTGAATTCTTCAGAGACATTTTGAGGGCAGTATTTTTTAAATCTGTTTGGGGGTCATTATTCTTCAGCACGTCTCTATTTAGCAGCAACCTATTTTATTAGTTGATTCAGACAATTTCTTTTTCTTCTATTTTTACTGAGCTGCATTTCAGTGTCTATTACAATTGCTGCTTCAAATAACCATGGGCAGAAGTTCTGTGGCTGTGGTCAAGCACAGGCCCTCATGGGCAACTGCTGCAGACCAAAATAGACCATTAAGACTGCTGCTTTTGGATAAAGATAATAAGCACATGACAGATCTTCAGCAGTCCTTTAATTTTAATAATGTATGCATATGCTTCAGCTGTGCAAGTCTCTGGCCTTTATCTGACTGCAGAGACAAGATTCCATTCTCCCGGATATATACAATAAATAAATACATGATCTTACTTGAATAAAGTCCCTTCTTTAGTGGGTGGTCTGCTTCACTTTTCTTTTCTTTCAAATATTTAAAATTTCTAAGTGACCTGCTTATCTTTCAATTTACTGGTTTCACAGTATATTAATGTAAAAGTACACTTCTCTTAGTAGGAATTGTTACTCCAGTCGTGAATTATTTTCTTAAGTAGCTAAGCTCATGCACCACTTACAGTGGTTTTAAGTGCACATAGTTTAAGGTACTTTATATTATTAAGTCACTGCTCAATCAGAAAAAGATTTCCTTTTCCTGTTTATTATATGGCACCTGCAACTACCTATGGGAAATTCTGTAAATCTGTAAGGGTAGAAATTGGAAAGGAGTAGAGAATATGCATAATAATTAAAGAATAAACAAAGTCTTTGACCAGAAGAGGCTAAAGTGTAAGTTATATGAAACAACAGATATGCAATACAGAGTATTCATATTTATGCATAGATCTTACCTCTTTTATTTCCTAGTTAGTATAAAAAAACTCATTCAAATTCTTTACATTTTATTGTGCTAATTTTATTGCTGTAGTTGAGTTACTCCTTTGTACTGACATATGGGGAAATGATCAGTCATATTAATTTTAACAGCTGAATTTTGGTCATTAAGAAGCAGAAGAGAATATAAATGGAAGATGCTATTTAAATTTTTTTAAAAAATCTCTATGTAACTAGTAATTAAGTACTACTTGATCTTTTACTTTTTTGATTATATCTTATCTTGTATCTTATTGTTAAAAAAACCAATCTGTCTGCAGATTGAGAGTAGGAATCAATGACAAATAAGGAACTAATTTTATATTAAAAATAAAAATCCCAGAGATTTCTGCAAATGTTTTTATACTTTTATACCATAACTAAAAGTTTGTTACTTCACGGTGAAAATATCAGAGTTGCATGGGATAATAAAAAAAGTTGATCAAGCATATATGGAAAGAAAAAATAAGTGAAGGTAGTAGTATCCAATAGAAAAAACCCTCTGTCTGGGCATTCAGAGGACAGCAAAGAAGAAAAGAGCAAGAGGTCACTCACAAATAGAGCAGACCTTTATTACAGACAGAAGGTAATGTGCTAGTATTGCTACATAACAATATTTCAGGACAGAAATAGACAGAAATAACATTCCATAGGTTTTTGGGGGGTTTTGTTAGTTAGTTAGTTTGTTTTCTTTTAATGATATAAAGGTGATTAATAGTATTACTGTTCTAATTAACTGAGGCAACTTCAAGTTAAATAAGTGGTACTGGTTTAACTCATCAAGCCTGTGCCTAACTTGTTATCAATACAGAGCAGAGTCCCTCCAAGCCAGCTGGATTTCCTCTTTGTTTTATGCAAGCCTTCCAGAACATGCAAAGTGATTTTCTCAGTGTGATCTTGGGACTACCCTGAAGAAGACAACCTATCATACTCAAAACCTGAGAATAAATGTATCCTACAGTTTATAGACTGCATAGAGCCGGCCAGAAATAGAATTGAAGATACATTTTTTTTTTTAATGCAATATAATAAAGTATAGTATCATAATTAATGATAATCAACAAATGCTTTCTAAGGAATTGATAATGCATTCAACAGTTTTGATTTCATGCTGGGCTAGGTTACAAGTTTAAATTATGAAAATAATTAGTTGTACTATAATTTTGGAACTCAATTTAGTGCATTTTTTCCCTAAACTTATGCTACACTAGGACTAGACCATGTAATCAACTGAAACAATACATGCTGAGGTGAAAAATAAGGACAGAAAGTCATACTAAACAGTCAATATGATACAGTTATCCAAGTTCAGACAAATTGTATTATTACATAGCTGAAGCATGACCACATAACTAAGAGGCATAATCCAGTAAATCCATCTCTTATGGCAATCTGTATCCTAGGAAAAAGTCACCTTGAATAGATTTTGTGCTCTGTTTGGCAAGAAAGCTGCAAATCCCAGCAACAGAGTAACTAAAATGTGCTAATACAAATCTTGTGTAAATCAGGGATGTTCTAAGTGAGACTGATTTAATTCTGCGTATAGAATTTTGTGTGTGAACGTTAGAAATGTATAATTGTGAAATATCTTATTTTGGCTCTCAGGTTTTTGAAGGATAATGAAAACTTTCAGATGATACAGGAAGAAATGAAAAAAAATAGGGAAAATTGCTTGTAATGAAGTACTGCAAAGGAGTGGTCTGACAACTAACAAATGCGTTAGTTGATCAGTAAATTAGTTAGTTAGACAGTCAATTTCCATAACTGGCAAAAATGCGTTAAACATAGTTACCCGTAGCTGGAAAATAACCCCACAAAAATTCACATAGGCAAAAAATTACATTGCATAATAAGGATTAAAAATGCTATAATATGTGACCAATTGCAACATATTAATTTTATTTTACCAATTGCAACATATTTTTTTTTCTTTTATCCTCTAAATACAATATGTTTTTAATACCACACGTTATGCTTCAGAGGCAATTTTTTTTTCTCAATTCTTATTTTATATGCTATGAATATTTTCTAAGTTTCATAGAAGTTTTCATACAGCACATAATTCCTAGCACTAGTCTTCAGGAATAAAATTTCCATAGAAAGATGTATGGGCCACTATGCCTCTGCAAGCTGATATCCATTCTTAGTTGCAGTCTCTAGATCAGACATTAGTTTAAACAAACCTAAGAAGCTAATGAGCACTTTTAAAGAATAAGCAATGCTGTGGCTTTAAATAATCAGGAGTGAAGTGTGCAAAAAAAGAAAAGTCAGAAATCAGGACTAAATTTATTCTCCATTAAAGACTAAAGTAAGACATGTAGTGGGAAATTGTTAAAGCTCTCTTGATTAGCTATAAAATAAAAAGTGTAAAATTACACTAGCTTTTTTATGTCAGTCTTAAAACTAAAAAGCCTGAATTTAAAAATACTGCTGTATCTGCCTAGATGTTTTTAGAAGAAAAATCCAAAATAATGTAAAAGGTCAGATATAGGGTACAATATGTTTGTAAAGTCTCACCCTACTCTTAATATCAGTAGGTTTTTCAATTTTATTTTTAAGCAGATCATTTGACATTAGCAATCTGATTGAGATTAAAAGTGTTGCATTAGCTTTAGTTGATTCAGCTGACAGAGCTAAAGAGAAATAGGTAAAACAGGATGCATAAAATGTAATTTTTCCCTAATGACACCTAATACAGCTTTTGAAAGGCCTGTAGATTAAACGAGTTCTAAGATATAGCTGGGGAGGACTTTGAGCAGGATCATGGGTTTCCTGGCCTTATCATATTATTCCCCTGTCTCCTCAAGTAAAAGAGCAGGGAAAAAAGTACTTCTCTGAAGATAAGAGTTCCAGTGGAAACTTTGAAAAACTGGTTATTTTTTATGGACTATCATGAATATTTTGGATACAATAATGAAATTATTAAATTTTTTAAAGATAACCAAAACAGAATAAAAATTAAGGATGAGAGAGATATAAATTCCTTCTTTTGGAATTTCGTAGCCCATCAGAGATGGTAGACAGCATCTTCAGGAAGTTTCATGAAAGTTTTCAAAAATTCATTATTTTTAGTATTAGAAAGCCATTGGACAAACTTGAAATATTATATAAAAAAATGCAGATGTATTTCAGAGACACAAATGTAGCCAGATCTTGAACAACTTTTCCTTGTTTTGAAATAAAGAGCATAAGAATTTATGAGAATTAAGTTTAGCAAAACATATTCCTGATTCTATAAGTGTATTAGTATTAAACAATTCATAATTACTTACTAGCATCCTATATCAAAATATCTACTTTTGGTCACCAAGAAAAGAGAGAAGAAAAAAGTAATCTAACAACGAGGAAGAAAGTGAGAGTCTGGTTGAGGTCAAGTAATGGACAAAGAACTAGACAAATCCTTATATTATTGTCTGTTCTTTCCCTAAAAAAATGTATCTGAGAAAAGGGATGTTTGAAACTAGATGTTCTTTAAGGTCCCATTCACCCCAAACTCTTCTGTGATCCTATGAGTCTTGTAGGTCTTTTCAGGCACAGCTCAATGGAAAGCTCTATGTCCACTTTCATCTCAGCTTTTAGCACTGTTTTGAATAGTTAACACATTGAATTTAGTTTGTATGGAAATGCAAAAACATCTTTTACGGTATGATGATATCAAATGTGTTAAACCAAAAAGTGTTGGAAAAAATCCATCAAAATAACACTGAAAAAATATATATTTTTTAAATAATCTACTTATATATATGGTAAATAATTTCTATACATATGCTAGTAAATATTATGAAACATAAGAATAATTTTACTATTTATTTCTCCAAAAAGGTCAATGACACTGATCATGTTGCCACAAATACAGTTTTATCTCAGTCACTTTATCTTCAAATTCTCATTTTGATTACATTTATTTGCCTATTCAGATTATTACTTTTCTTTATTGCAAACAACCAATCAAAATCTCTTCTACAAGATTTTGACAAAATAGTTCCTTACAATCCTTGAAAGAAATTCAACAAGTAATAGTAAAACCATGTAGAATGTTCTTTTTGCTTTCTTAAATATAAGAATGAATTAGTTAGTTTATCACCTATTTGAACTTTATTTGCCCATTGTTGGAATGACTACAATGTGTTAAATTCTCTTGAAAGAGGGCAAACAATAGGCCAAATCTCTTGGAGCTTTGAGAAACCAATTAATTCTGTAAAAAAGAAGGAAACAGCAAACTTCACTTCATTAGACACTACCCAAGAGGGCCAGTCACTGACAGTTAATATAGAGAATGAATAATAAGAGAAGGATTTATTTTAATGAAGATTTTCCAGATTAAAATAAGTTAATATGAGATGCAAAACTGAACAGATTTTTTTAGATTTCTTGAAATAAAGTGGATTAAAATGAAATTTCAGGATTTAAATGTAAAGTAACTTCAATTTTATAAAATACAAGAGACCACTTGATACCTTTTCTAAGGATAGAGGATAAGATTTGGAAAAATAGATAATTTGGAAATCAATGCTCTCTGCCCTTCCAAACTACATTCATTTCCCTAGGTTCAGAGACTAATAAAACATGATTATCTCCATTCAAGTTTGTCAGAAGCTCTTTACTCTATTTCTCAGTTTCTATGAAGTCCATCCACACAAAGCAGATGACTGATTTTTCCCCTTTCAAGAACAAGGATGTGGGGAAGAGTATAAAACATCTAGCTGGAGCATATTTTAACTCTGTTTAACTACTAAAACCTCTCTTTAGTTATGTCACTCAGGAAAGAGGATTGCATGTGTAGTATTTCCCAGAAACCAGAGATTTTCTTTCACAACAGCAGCATTTTCTGTGCAGATGGAGCTGGCACGAAGCGAGCTGGTAGCAGCACTCAGGGCGCCCTGCCCGCCTGCGGGGAGGGGAAGCTGCAACCCTTTTTTAACCACCTTACTGAGGGTTCCCAAAGCTTGGGAACATACTTTCACCACCAGTGTGCTTCAGATTGATGCTGGTACTTCTCAAAACCAGATGGATGTGGAGGTACATGGAGGGCTTTTTGATTTTCTACCACATCTTTGCTGTCTTGGACTAAAGCAATGAGAACACAGCAGGGTGTGGAGACAAATGTCCTCCAGCACAGGTGATACCTGTATGCCTGATACCTGTATACACCTATAAATCTCACTTTTCCTTTCATAATGTGACCAGCACTGCATCTTGATGTCCTGGTGGCATAGATATTCTACCATCAACTATCAAGTGAACCACTAATATTGAGCTTCCTCCAGGGAAACTTCAAAAGAACGTGGATTGTTTGCCTTAAAGAGAATGAAATCAAACTGGTGAAATGATCCCAGTGCACTGCGTAGAAATGATGATGAACAAAAGCGATAGCCAGAATATTCTCATTTTCAGTGGGACCTGGAAGAAGAGCAAGCTACAAAATAATTTTCTAGTTATTAATCTTATTTTTTTAATTAGGTTTTTCTTATTCTTCAGGTGGACTGTCTAGCTGCAGGGGATATTCTACAGACCTGGATCTAAGAATAGTCTCAGTTTAACAGGTGTGAACTCATAACTGCTCCACAGGAAATAAGAATAGTTATGTAAGATTTACATAGTGGGCAAAGTGTGACTACTGAGTCCCATTCATGTGATCATATGCATGAACACAGATGCTACTGCAAAAGAGCCAAAAAAAATGGAACTAGAGCAGCAGCAGCATGGCTTGGGAGATTAACTATTGTAGTCATTGGTTTTTATTTTTAAGCATTTGAAAAACTTTTCACCTCTACAGCAACACAATAGAAAAAAAAAAAAAAAAAAAAAAAAAAAAAAAAAAAAAAAAAAAAAAAAAAAAAAAAAAAAAAAAAAAGCAGCTTCACAAAGTCTACAGAAAATGTAGAGAATGAAGCAATTGTAAGGAATAATGTGATTTATGTCAGAATAATTAATTCCAATATCAAGTTCTTCCAGTTTCACAAAATATGGACCTGCTTTGTAACACAGAAATTATTTTTGTCCTTCAGTTCTAAAAGCTGATTTCTTCCACTCATTCATAATGTTGTGTAAGGTGAAATGGAGGCTGGAGACTTTCACTCCATATGAAATTGATTGCCTTTCCTTAGCAATGTTTTAAGCATGCCCTTCCACTGAAAATGTTTTAACTGCCTCTGGGCTGTGTTATTCCTTGATAACCCCTAGAAATATATGCACATAGACCTCATCTGGCTTGTACGCTCAGGAGAAAGAACAACCACAGCAATCTGCAGTGTTTTATTCTTCAATAGAGTTTCCCAACTGCTTCTCATCTATACATCCAAATAAAGCATAACTTTCAAAGAAGTTCTTAAGTGAATGTTTCTTTTCTTAGTATGGGATTTTTAGGATGGTGGAGGCAAAGAGAAGAAAAAATGAAGGGAAGGCATCTCAGAATATTCTTACAGCATATGTTCTACCGGAGGATGAATTTGACGTTTAAATAATTGCCTGTAAGAAAAGGCAAATCCCATAGATAGAGGATGGCATTTTACAGGAGAGAGATACAGGTGCCTTTACACAAACATTTGTGAATGCCTCTGTGTACTTTGAAGAGGAGAGTGCAAAGGAACATCCTCACAGTTTCTGCTTTGACAAGAATTTCCACTTAGCGGTCTTTTCTTGAGAAAAATATTGTGTAAATAGTTAAATTTGCAGGAAAAGCCCAAGTTATAATGGAGGAACACATCCAACAGAAACTATTTTATAAAACTACATTAACACAGTATCTCACAGAAGCATTGCAGTGTATTATGTACATAACATTTTGATAATATAAGGCAGTTGAGATGATAAAGTTCATGTGCTGGGACAAGAATCTCTGCAGGGTTAATGCAAAAGATTAATTTTAGATGCAAATTGTTGTATACATGAATAAAAATCTATTTCTTATTTCACAAATGGAATTATGTGGCTAATGCTTATAATATAGGAAAATAATATCAGAAAAATATAAACAGTGTTTCATTCCATATCAAAAAATCATTGAAAGCTTCACAGGAAAGCTTTTATCAAAATTCTGTCTCGGGATGTGAATAATCTATGAATTAAGTTTTATCTTCACATTTGTCCAATCCATGATCCAAGCCATTCTGTGGAAGGTGATTTTATAAGAAATGAAATTCCATGGGAAATTTTCACAAGTTTCTCAAAAAAGAAAATAACATCAGAGTCAAGGAACATACCCTAATAATGCTAATTTCCCAGTTAAAATAGAGCAAAAGAATGGATTAAAACATAAAACGTGGATGGCTTTATGTGAGCTTTATTTATAAAAATATCAAAGTTGCTTTGTGTTATCTTGGTGTTCAGCTAGTCTGTTCTTCTGCATAGCCATTACTTTTCTTTCACTTAGACAAGCTTTTTTTAAGAGGAATATGGTGGCAGATTTCCTGCTGAATAATCTAATTCCCAACACTGTTGTTTAATGTGCCAACTAGGCTTACATTACACAGTGACAAAAAATAAACTGTCAAAGCAGTGTTTTCTCTAAAGAAAGATTTCCACCAACTAGAGGGCCTACAGTCTTGGAGAAAATTGATTGGGCAGCACTCACAGTGAAAAGAAAAAGTAAATCACTTTCAACTTCATTTATCAAGGACAAAACCAGACAATTTTGTTGCATCACCTCAATGCAACCAGAGAAGATAAATCCTTTGCACTCATGTCATTCACAATTTCCTGTGAATAAAAACAGTGAAAGAACTAAGTACCTTCATTTGAAGCAGGAGAGGCCATCATTTTAGTCCTTTCATATGAAGAGGAACTCTGAGCTATGTTATACAGCAGTAGCTCTTTAATTTCAAGCACTACACAATGTTTCCTCATGTACAAAGTTATTTCCCTTTGAGGATGCCTTGGTTTTAATCTGTTTGCACAAGAAAACTCCCTACACAAATAGTGTCCCTTGAATCTAATAATTTTCTCTGCCCTTCCCTGAAGTGTTAATCTTGCTGGTGTGTTCCTTCATAGTTAGGTGATCCTATTTATATTATGTGATGCATTGTACAAGTATGCAATATTAGAGTGGCTTTATTACAGCCACAAATAGCCACTGGAGCTAACTGATCATTCTTCAGTTCTTTCTAGTTCAAATTACACTACATAAAACTGAAATATGTTTATGAACATTTCAGTAGAAGATGGCTACATTTTGTATTGTGAGTAAATGGTGGATTACCCTTAAAAGGCTGAAATAGATAAAAAGTACATTTTAGAATCCCAAAGGAAGATGTCAGGATGTGATAATATAACACTTAAACCACTTGCTGGGAAGTAAAAAACCTAAACTTTGAATCTAAGAGATTTTGTTATTGTATCACAGACAGTTTTATACACCCTTCATGGATACAAAGTTGAATTAGAATTTTGAATTGTTGTATTAATTTTTTTTTAAGCTGATAATAGAAGCCATCTACTATGCCCAGTAGATAGTCCTTTTTTATACAAAGGGAATAATTATAAAGATATACAGTAAACAATATGCCATGCACACTGCATTTGCAAGAATACTTCCTTTATAGCTCCTGCACGGATCATTTCCAAGAAGAATGGATCAATTAAATTTTCCTCACCAGCTGACCTGCAACTATTCAGATACCACAGGAGAAATGGTATCTTTGAGAAGTAATGCATTATTTCATAATTCCTGTTTCACACTATTCCTGTGTAACATATTAATTAATTTATTTTAAAAATTGGAAGAACATATACAAAATTAAAAAGCTTTCCAGGCTTTGTGAAGATAATGCTGTTTTAACATCTTGCAAAGCAATGTTTCTAGGTTCAGACAGTTTACGTTAAGCATTTCTCAAAATACCTGGAAGTTTTAAATTTTGAAAGACAAATCCATGTTGACATCCAAGGAATGCATTATTTACAGGTTTAGAAGACCAATCCTCCTCAAGACAGATGGTTATACTCCAGGCCTTTCTTCTATATCCTGACTTTTCCACTGTATTATCATTCTAGAAGAATGAATAAACTATTATCCTGTGCATTAGCTGATGCAGACCTAGAAATAAATTAATGAAGACATGTTACCTTTGTAAGATACTAAACAGAAAAGCAAGATACAATAGGAGCACCTTTGTATGGAGACTAAATGATCAGAATTTTATTTAATCAGTCTTTTTCTGTAATTACTTTTTCCATAATTTCTTTCCCGCTAAAAATAAAGCACAACTAAAAGAAAAGTTCCTTTGTGAACTGTAGTGACATAAGATTGACAAAGCCCAAGCAGGCTCAGTATAGTAACACTGCTAGAGGAAGTAAACTTTATTTTACTAATTATGTTACAAAAACAATAGGTAAAATGCCTGCTTATGAAACATTGGCTATATCTGCTATATTAACACTTGCACCAGTTTGCTGAGTAACCTACAGAAAACAGAATGAGTTTGACAGTTTAATGGTAGAGCTACTTGAGCTGTACTTCTTCTGGGAAAGATCTGCATTGATCATTATTCTTTTCACATCTGTTCTTGTTCTCAGCAGTGAGACCTGCTGACCAGCAAGCTGCCTCCTTCAGATGCCTGGAAAATTAGCCATTGCTTCAGAACTTGACCTTTAAATTTAGAGTGAACAGACTTTATCCAACCACTAAGCTCATTGATTTAAAATGATAGGTTTATGGTACTGGAGAATAAAAAGAACTGAAAGAGCTCTGTAGTATTTGAGATCTAACTCGGGTTAGTCAGGATGTGAGATATTTAGAAGTCAGCTTCAGCTTCTAACTGAAATGCTTGAGAGACTTGCTAAACTGCCCATGATTTGGAGCATTTTCCCCTCTTTCTGGTATCTGCATTGGAATTCTGTCAGCAAAGTGTATCCTCCAAGCTCATCCACAGCAGTTATTACTCAGCCAGGTAACAATCCCTCACAGCATCATCTGTCACCCTTCAGACTCCCTTTCCCCTTTTGACTCAGCTGTCATTCTAACATACAAGACTAAAACTTCCTGCTAGGAAAGAAAAATAAAAACAAACAAACAAAAAACCAAAACCATAATGAACTTTTCAATCCAGCACAAAAAAGGAGTAAAATGAGTCTTTTCACTAATGGAAGCAGGGAGGATTCTCTTCTGTGTTTTTTTAGGCTACACTAACCTGCTTTGCCTCAGCTGCCACTGACTCTGGTCAGTGGGATTGGTTGGATTGGCTTTGGTGTAATGGAGAGTAGAATTTGACCTGGACACACTGACATGCCAGACATCACGAATGATTGAAAATCTGCAACTGAGACTCAGATATACGAAAATACATACTGAATTTCTGAATGCCTGATCCTTCTACTTAATCCCAGCAATATCTGTGTTGACTGTTGCAGAAAAATGTCCACAGAGATCAAATGCAATAAAGCCCATTTGTCAGAAAGCAATGACTGATGTGAATCATCTCAAGATGTTTTTTGCAGTTCCCTATAATTAAAGGAATTATATATATATATAATTTTTAAAAATATATATTATATATCCTCTTATAATATAGAGGATTCTATCTACAGATAGTACACAATTAATTTTGAAGTCATCCATGTAAACCAAATGTATTAGGCTTGTATGGTGGATTTTTGGTAGCAGAGGGGCTACAGATGTAGATTCTGTGAGAAAATGTCAAAAGCTTCTCCTATGACTGACAGACAATGCCAGATCGACTGGCCAAGCCCATCCGTGATGATGGTAGTGCCCTCTGGGATAATATATTTCAGAAGGGGAAAAAATCCTGAGGAACTGAAGCCAAAGAAGGGAGCATATCTGAGAGAAACAGCTCTGCAGATACCAAGGTCAGTGAAGAAGCAGAGGAGCACTGAAGTAAAGATCTCCTCGTAGCCCATGGGGAGGCCCCGGTGAGGCAGCTGTGCCCCTGCAGCCCATGGAGGTCCATGGTGGAGCAGAGATCCACTGCAGACCCTACACTGGAGCAGGGGAATGGCCAAAGGAGGCAGAGATTCCATGATTCTACAAACTCGAGAGGCTCCTGGCAGGACCTGTTGCCCCAGGGAGAGAGGATCCCATGCTGGAACTGGATTGTTCTTGGGACTTATGACCCTGCAGAGGACCCATGTCAGAACAGCCTGCTACAGAAGAACTGCACCCCATGGAAGGGATCCACTTTGGAACAGTTTGTGGAGAACCAAAGCTTGTGAGAAGGGCTCATGTTGGAGTGGGAGAAGAATGTGAGGAGTGGGAGACTGTGTGATGAGGTGATCACAGCCCCTGTTCCCCTTCTCACTTAGCAGCTGTAGGAAGGAGGTAGAGTATGGGGAATAAAATTAATCCTGGGAAGACAGAGGAGCAGGGGGAAG